TTTGATTTATTTGACCTTTGTGACCTTTGACCCAACCTGTCACTTTGACATAACCGGTATTCTCCATCTCTGACAGGTGGATGGTCTAGATTTTTGAATGAGATTTGATACATCAGTTACAGAGGGAATGGTGAATTTTGAAAATAACTGACAGGGAGACAGTGAAGTGAGTGGGGAGTTGGCTATAGAATTAGAAGCTCCTATAGAGTTAAGTTGTTCGTGGATATCAGAGATTTTAAGAGTAAAAAAGGACATGATATTGTTGCAAAAATCAGTTCAGTACATATGAGGGGGGAATGGGCCAGGGGGTTTTGTTAATTTGCTAAAGAGAGAAAAGAGAGATCTGGAGTTCCCTTCTCTAGAACTGATTAGACCGGAGTAGTATGTGGATTTTGCTAAAACTATGCTGCTCTTATAAAGCAAAATATGATCACTGTACATTTCTTTGTGTATGGCGAGACCTGTTTTCTTATATACTGTAGACGTTCCAGTTGCCGTCCTTTGGCTTTGAGAAGGCGCAGGTTGGGAGTAAACCATGGTGCTGATTGAGAAAAAGAGACAGAACGGTGTTTGAGGGCAGCAAATGTGTTTAGAAGATTATGAAGGTTGTCATTATAGTGTGAAACAAGTTCTTCAGGGGTTGAGGAGCTGTGGATGGGTGAGAGTTCATTTATAGCAGATGAGAAAATATCCGGGTTAATATTACTAATTTTCCTAAATGAAATGTCACGAGGAGTGCAGGTTTTTGAAGCTGATACATTAGCAATAAAAGAAATAAACATGTGATCAGATTGAGGAAAAGTATTAGCTTTGCAGTGTGTGGGAGTCACACCAGAGCAGCAGACCAAGTCCAAGATATGACCTTTAGAATGCGTAGAAAATTCGATGTGTTGTATTCCAAAACTATCCAGACAGGAAGTAAAATCTCTGGAAAGAGGGTTGTTGTCATTGTCCATGTGTATATTGAAATCGCCAACAATTATCATATTTGGAGTGAGTACAGAGAAGTCAGTGAGTAGAGCAGTAAAGTCGTTTAAAAAGTCCTTGTTTGGCTTAGGTGGCCGATAAACAGTGCATATGATGGTGGGAGTGGAACCAGGGAGCTGTATCGCTGTGTATTCAAATGAATGGAAGAGTGGGGCTGAGAGAGGGAGGACTTTCCACTGCTTCCGGTGAATTATCGCGAGACCACCAGCCCTCCCTGAGTTGCGAGGTTGACAAACTTAAACAAACTCAGGCGGAGTGGATAATGGTTATAATAATGGTTTATTTTCTTTTTTTTCCATTTTTTGAAAGTAGCATAAGAACATAAGAAATTTACAAACGAGAGGAGGCCATTCGGCCCATCAAGCTCATTTGGGGAGAACTTAACGGGCAGTATTAATGTTGGACAACACTCAGACATTTAAATTATTTTGATTTCAGGCGCTTCATTGGTATAAATCCAGAGAGAGGGACAAAACACAGACAGACAAAACACACTTAAAAGTTACATTAGGTGTGTTTTTATGGATTCTTATATGCCTTATGTATGCCACTATGGTGTCACAGTTATAACAACAGATCTGACAGGGGAACATTTTGTTCCTGGCCGATGGTAAATTCCTTTTAATCAACAAACATCCATTAGTCTGGATTACGGCTGCGGGCTGCTTTTTAGTGACACCTTAATGTCAGGGTTAGCACAGAAATGTTTAACTTTAGCTGAGACTGTGACCGAAAAGCCACAGTTGATGCTAAAAGGTTTGACAAAGCCTATAGCTTACAGTTGATACAGTAACCACGCAGCAACAGAGAGACAAACGAAATGCATTCCCAAAGAGTCTAGAAAGGCAATTTCACACCAATTTCCATGCAACCCGCCTTGAAAATTCAAGTGTCTCTCTTTAACCAAACTACAATTAGGTTACCTTAATTTCCTTGTTAACTCACATTAACACACATAATTAAAAGTCGACACAAACGAAAGAAAACTCCCCAAAACCATCGCGGTTATAGCCGACGTTTCAATAATCCTAGATTTGGTGAAATTAAATCTTTAATCGCCGAGCGAGATGTAGGCTAAATATTCCAGGAGGCTAGTCTAATGCTATTTTCCCGCTGCCTCCATTGGCCTGTCTGTCTTACTGGTTAACAAATGCTGTTCCTCAGATTCAGACGTTCGGCTAGTGTTACCAGAATTAAACAAAAAAAAAAAACCATGTAAAGTAATGTTTCGGCTATTCAAATATAAGCCTCATTCATAAATTACATGTTCAAATCCCTAGTAAGATAAGCTTCTCAGGGTCACTTATGACCTCAGAGTAAAAAATGTCGGCAAATCTTGTAATGTGTGTGGATCAGGCTCACTATAAGCTATAACCATGTACAAGATAATTATTCATAGACAAAGGTTGTGTTTTCATTGTATCAGCTTGTTCCACACAACACCATTGCTAACTCCCAAAAAATCCATTTAAATTTATTTCCCACTTTCCATATCACACCCATAAAGTGTGGTAGATCAAAGAGAATTGGACAGGTAGGAGGACGAGGACGTTGAATGCCATAACGCTTTCTGTGATTGCTGTGATGGCGTGTTTGTAATGATCATTATTGTGAACACATTACAGTCTTGGATTTGTGTTTAATCACCTATCATGTCCCTTTTTGTTGTTTTTCTCTTGACAAAATACATTTTTTCACACTTTATGTTTTATTTCAGCTGAGGATGCTTTTGCTAAATGGACAAGTAAGTTTTTCAATCAGATTTTTTTTTTCAAATGTTATCTTAATGTTACTTCTGATTGGCTTGAATGCCACTTCCTACATTTTTTTCCAGTGTTATTAAATTAAATTTCTGACTTCTGAGATGGATGAAAGTTTCAAAATATACTGCCTACATTATTCTGCTGAGAGTATTAAAGGAAAATGGGCTGTATTGTTTAAATGAATAATGTTGAAACCCAACATCACTATATTAGGAAAAATGAGGAAATCATATATGAAAAGATTTTGCACATTTGATAATTGTGAATGAGAGTGAGCCTGCAATATGACGCCGTTAATGGAATCCGTTTAGATAAACAAGGAGCTGTCCAACAACAAGTGTGGAAGTGGATCTGTAAAGCAGCAGGTAGGACTGAGTTGATTCAGGGTTTTTTTTAGATTATTAACATCCATATTAGAAAAATAAGTCAGAAAATGTAGTAAATGTATGAATGTATAATTTAATTAAGTGAGATCAATTTGTGAGATGTTTAGACAGCTAAATTTGTACAATCAGCTTCAAAGCATAAAAGAATCATTTGTAGATGTACCATACTGTACTGTCTACTATGTCATCTATGTTGCAAGATGATCTATGAAGGAATCCAAGGTAATACTTGTATTTATTATCTGCAGCTAATGTCATTCTGGACCCCAGAAC